CCAAATATTTAAAAGTTATTTACCTCCTTTAGAAGATGCTTAAATGCTAATAATTAAAACATATGCTATAAGATTGACTGAAGGTGTTAATTTGTCATGTAGCATTATGGCTTTGTGCTAACGTGGTACAAACAAAGGAGATTCTGCCTACCTTTGGAAGAGATGCTCGTGAACCTGAGCTTTGTGTTGTCATGGTTAGTACAGTTGTTATGCCTAAAGCCACTCTGGCTGGAGCTGCATCCATGTTGATCCAAAATGACACCCAGGAGAGAATGACGATCAAGAGACTTGGTATGTACATCTGGATGAGATAGTAACCCATTTGCCTCTCAAGGTGAAATCGGACTTCAATACACGTAAACTTTCCTTTTTATAACAAAGAAAAATATTCAATAGAAATAGAATGTTCTTTCCTGTCAAGATCTAGTGCACACTCTAAAGAATTTGCACTCCATCAGATGTCATTGTTCTCTAATGAAAGATGAATGTTTTGATTTCTTTTCAGTGATTTTTAATATGCATGGTCCCCATTAGAGTATGTACTGGAAAGAAAGGGGACAGAAAAACTGAAAATTTAAGCATTCAATAACGTCTGGAACTCTCCTTTCCTTATAAAAACTAAACCACAATTCATTATGACATAGGAAGCTTCCTCTGTGTGATCACACTTGTTTTTCCATTTACTATTTGGAAATACTGCTATATGCAAAGCAAAGGCTTCCTCCCCCATTGTAGCAAATCTCTTTTATCTTTTGGTTGAATTTTAAGCTTATATTTATTTCTTTTAATCCAATGAATTTGGGAAAAATATAGTGAGATCAATGTAGGCATTAGGCTATCAATAGGAGACTACTAAATCTCTCCCTTTATCTCCATTCAAACTGTTCCAGCTCAAAAGTACAATGACCAATATTCAAACAGAAATGGAGGACTTGAGATTAGGGAACTTTAGGAAGCAAATTAAATGGCCTAATTTTTCCAGATACTGAACATCAAGCAACTTCCACTAATTTAACCAAACCAGAACAAAAAATAAGTATTGTTTGCTCATAGAAATGCCATAAACCAATTTTTTCCTCTTACTCAAATTTTTTTTTTTTTTTTTTTTGTACGCTGTAAACTGTAGATTATTTCACAGATCTTGACCTGGTCTCATTAGATTTTGTAATTCTGCTCAATGCTTGTATTAGTCACATATGAATGGTGCTGAAGGCAATGCTGTTACTGTAAATAGTGTATACATGAACATTTTCTCACAGCAAGAAATATACATACCTCAGATGTCTTCCTTATTTGAATGAAAGCATTTCCTAATTCTAAATTTAACATGGAAAGCTATATGCTTATTTATTTCTTAAGAGGTATCCGGTTTTTTGGTTATGTTTTCCAGTAGTTTTTGATGGGTATTTTCCTAATCCATTTTAATTTCCCAAAATGCCATTTTATAGCAAATAGTTCCACATTAATAGTGCTTTAATATTTATCATACTAACAAAATTTATGTAATGGACTTATGAGCTTATTCTATACTGATTTAATATATTGTGTATTATGCTGTGACAATAGTGTTAGGCATACAGAAATGAGTTTCAGACAAATTCAAACTAAAATGTTTTTATACCAGGCATATTAAGTACTTGGAAATACCTTCTGAACTTCATAATTTTCATAATAGTTCTCTTAACAGGCCATTAGTTCTTTCTATGGTGCCATACTAAATGTGACTGTATGAAATTTTTATTTTGCTGAGGCACTAAAAACATATTTAGAAAGACGCTAGTTATGATGTTCAATTTTAAAATGATGTAACTCAGGAGTTTTCTATCTGCCGTTTCAATTATTAGTCCCATTCCTAATTGCCGGTGTTTTCTGAATCCTATCTATACTCCTGAAATCTGTGTCCCAAATCCCAGCTCAACCATCTGCTGCCCCAGCTTCAAAACTGATTTCTGCTTCAATCAAGGGATGAAGTCCTGGTTTAACAAAGTGAATGGGAATTTTGGTGTTTGCTTCAGAAAAGGACAGGATTTCCACCTATATTTCTCTTCCAGGATCTTCAAAAGGTTACCTACACAATATATTCTTTTACTTAGCAGTTCAGGACACCCCTCGTAACTGAAAGTTCTGCACTGACTTGCCTTTATCAGAATCATATTCTTATTTCAAACTGGTCCTTACACTGAAAGTTTCTTTTTTGTGATGTTTGTTCTGTTAATTCAGCAGCCTTGGACAGCAGCAGTCTTGCTTTCATATATCACAGTAAATCATGGTGGTAAGGAGTGACAGAAATGCATCAACCAAATCTAGGTCTCTTGCAAAGCCGTTTTATTTGGCGTTATATCAGCAAGAATTACGTGTCAGCATGAAACAGTTTCTTCTTACAGGGCCCTATATTCTTCTTTGAAAACAAATTAGGAAGTAAAACCAAGGAGCATTAGAGCGGGTAATATATGCATAACTGGAGTGTCAATAAATATTTGCTGTTGCTTGTACATTGTTTTTTTTTTTTTCTCCAGAGAAATGTGAGATAAGAGCTCTGACTCTCTTTCCTGAGTACTCAAGTGGGCTTGAATTATTGCAGATATTTCAGCACAAAAATACTGTGGTCCTAAACAAGGAGCAACAAATAACATATTAGCTTTGATATGGATTATTTTTATGTTGTTGTAAGTTTGCCAGGTTTGTCTGAACTAAGGAGAAAGAGGACAACAGAACCCTAACAAATTGAAGGAGATTCTGAATGAAATGAGTGCAAATGGAATATATTATATCCACAGAAATGGAGAGAAAAGAGATGGGATTATGAAGAGGCCAGACCTAGTACTGGATGATGTGTCAGAGGAGTTATACTGGATGATTTTTCTTGCTTGATTTTATATTTTTGTAAACATAATTGGCCAAGGTAAACAAAACAAAAAAAAAAAAAAAAGAAAATGAAATGTGTCTCAAAGTGGAGAAATATCTTTGTTTAACTCCACATAATGAGTGCCTTAGAGTCCTGCCTTTGTCGTAGGCCTAGCGAGTTTATGGACATGCCAGTCGTATCCACTGCTTCCCAGTCAAGACCACTGTGTTACTCATCTGCTCTGTTCCAGTGTAGCATTGAAAAATTAAGTCAATATGTGGTAACTCCCCAGGGAGATTGGTGGCTATCCAGGTAGACACTTCCCTCTGTAACTCCACTGCTGGCTGTGGGCTTTCTCACCACTGGAAGACAGCAACTGGAAGTCAGTCTTGGCACTGCAGTTGCAGCATTTGCTGCTCTAAGTGTGGAAGGGTTCATGTTAGTTTTTGCCCTTCCAAGCTGAGATCAGAACCACCTACATAAACTGGGCTAATGAAGCAGGGTGGAAACAAACCATTTGCCCTACCAGATGTGAGCTTCAGCTAGGAGGCAGTCAGCAGAGGTTGTGCTGTTGTTTCCCAGCTGAAGCCACCATCCATCTGTTGGCCCCCTTTCTCTTCCTGTATTCCATTTCGAATTCAAAGCCAGGTTAGCTGTTTGTTAATCTGTTTGACTGGATGCTTAAATGGATCAGAAGAGACATACCCATGAAGTCCTCTCAGCTAGGGAAGGAGATAGACAAGCAGCTAAGAGCATTGCTCTAACAAATCATTCCCAGTACATGTATAAAATGTAAGCTCTCGTTCATTCCAATATGCACTGTAAATGTCACAGAGAGTGACCAGGAGGAGTATATGAAACCTTTGTGGTATAGTGGTTTTGCTGAGGCTGAGTAACAAATTAAGGCATGGTGCTAGCTTCAGAAGAGAGGTAAATACAGTCGTGCATGCAATCCATACAATGGACAGGTTTTTGTAATGCAAAAGAAAGCTATTGAGGGCTTCCTAAAGGATATGCATTTTTTCCGGAAACAGAGGTGATGTTCTTTTTGTTTATAAGTCTAGCCTAACCAGGGATTCATGTGTGATAAAGGCACCAAAAGTGCTGCCTTGCTGAATACTGTACCCATGCATATGAAGTGAAAGTACTGGTATATATGCACGTGATGGTGCACTTCTCTCTCTTACACCTGCTCTTTGGTGACAATGTCAGAGTTGCTGGGTTGGCATGATTTCCATGCAATGTCCACACTGAAACCAATATTATAGTGGAAAAATGTATATTCCAGTCAGTGTACAGGATTTTTTTTTCCCCAAGAAAGTGTAAGTGGCTTTTCTTGGGAGTCAGTATCTAGGTCGCGTTGTTGCTGCTGTGGCCAACTGTGAGTAATTCAAGAGCAATATTCTACCTTAGCGCACCTTCACACTGCGCAGCCGTCTCGGACCATGGTAGGTGCTGTTTAAGCAGTGGGTTATGCAGGCAGCAGTATGCCTATGTGATCAAAAGGCACTGCTAGCACTGTGGGATGTGTGTAAGGGAAATCAAGTATAAGTAGTAGCTTTCAGGCCATAAAGGGTCCTTCTTTTCAGCTGCATCTGCCTCAAACTGCTCCAGAGGCAGTAGTTGGTAGAACTGAAATGCAACCCTTAAGATAGCCCTTGGCGGAAGCTTTTCTTACTGTACATTTACAATGTCATGGTCATGTTTGTAATTCCCAGGGAGGCTGAGTAGCTGTTTCTGAAGCTATACAGAAAGTTTTCGTAATGGAAAATCACCTTAGGAAACTGAACCAAGGAAAAAGGGTGCCTGAGAAATAATTAATAAAGATAAGAATATAATAATTATTAAAGCACTAGAAAATTAAAAATTAATAGCATAATATAAAATGAATAAGTACAAACAAAAAAAAAAGGAACTAAGTGTGCAGACGTTCAACTGTTAATCCATGCAGAATGGAGAGGTAGCTGCTGAAGGTGCTGGTTCTTGATACTGCTTTAGATAGCAGTAAGTCATAGTCCAGATTTTCTTAGAAGAAAAGCCATTGTTAATGCTAATATCTGATCTACTCTGAAATATTTTATGGCTCATAGAATCATAGAATCATAGAACAGTTTTGGCTTGAAGAGACCTTCAAGATCATCGAGTGCAACCTTTGTCCTAGCTCTGTCAACACCACTAAACCGTGTCCCTAAGTACAACATCTACCCGTCTCTTAAACACCTCCAGGGATGGTGACTCCATCACCTCCCTGGGCACGCTGTTCCAGTGCCTGACAAGCCTTTCAGTAAAGAAATTCTTTCTAATATCCAGCCTGAACTTCCCCTGGTGCAGCTTAAGGCCGTTTCCCCTCGTTCTATCACTTGTTACTGGGGAGAACAGACTGACCCCTGCCTGGATTTAGAGTAGCCCAAAGACTACATAGCTTAATGAAATGACATTAAACTATTTACTTAAAATAAAATGTTTATACTTGCTGAATAGAGAGAATGGTTCAAAGCTTAGCAAAATTGACTAAATTAAG